TATGTGGAGTAAAATAAAGGTTGGATGTGAAAAGTGGGTTATAGTAAGAGTATATGCACCTGGAGAAGAGAGAAGTGTAGAGGAGAGAGAGAGATTTTGGGAAATGTTGAGTGTATGCGTGGGGAGTTTTGAAACAAGTGTGAAAGTAATGGCGGCTGGGGGTTTCAATGCTAAAGTGGGCAAAAATGTTGTGGAGGGAGTAATAGGTAAATTTGGGGTGCTAGGGGTAAATGAAAATGGGGAGCCTTTAATTGAGCTATGTGTAGAAAGAGGTTTGGTAATGAGTAATACATATTTTATGAATAAGAAGATAAATAAATATACGAGGTATGATACAGCACGTAATGAAAGTAGTTTGTTAGATTATGTATTGGTGGATAAAAGGTTGATGGGTAGGTTCCAGGATGTACACGTTTATAGAGGTGCAACTGATATATCGGATCATTATGTAGTTGTAGCTACAGTTAGAATAAGAGGTAGATGGGAAAAGAGGAAAATGGCAACAACAAGTAAGAGGGAGGTGAAAGTGTATAAACTAAGGGAGGAGGAAGTTCGGGTGAGATATAGGCAACTATTGGCAGAAAGGTGCGCTAGTGCAAGTATGAATAGTGGGGGGGTTGAAGAGGGTTGGAATAGTTTTAAAAATGCAGTATTAGAATGTGGGGCAGAAGTTCGTGGTTATAAGAGGGTGGGTGCAGGAGGAAAGAGGAGTGATTGGTGGAATGATGAAGTAAAGGGTGTGATAAAAAAAAAGTTAGCTTATGAGAGGTTTTTACAAAGCAGAAGTGTTATAAGAAGAGTAGAGTATATGGAGAGTAAAAGAAAGGTGAAGAGAGTGGTGAGAGAGTGCAAAAGGCGAGCAGATGATCGAGTGAGAGAAGCACTGTCAAGAAATTTTAATGAAAATAAGAAAAAAAATTGGAGTTAAACAAGTTAAGAAAGCCTAGGGAACGAATGGATTTGTCAGTTTAAAACAGAGTAGGGGAGTTAGTAGATGGGGAGATGGAGGTATTAGGTAGATGGCGAGAATATTTTGAGGAACTTTTAAATGTCGACGAAGAAAGGGAGGCGGTAATTTCATGCAATGGCCAGTGAGGTATACCATCTTTTTGAAGTGAAGAAGAACAGGATATGAGTTTGGGCGAGGTGCGTGAGACATTATGTAGAATGAAAGGGGGTAAAGCAGCTGGAACTGACGGGATCATGACAGAAATGTTAAAAGCAGGGGGGGGGGGTATAGTGTTGGAGTGGTTGGCATTTTTGTTCAATAAATGTATGAAAGGGGGGAAGGTACCTAGGGATTGGAGGAGAGCATGTATAGTCCCTTTACATAAAGGGAAGGGGGACAAAAGCGACTGTAAAAATTATAGAGGAATAAGTTTACTGAGTATACCAGGAAAAGTGTATGGTAGAGTTATAATTGAAAGAATTAGAGGGAAGACGGAATGTAGGATTGCGGATGAGTAGGGAGGTTTTAGAGTGGGTAGGGGATGTGTAGATCATGTGTTTACCTTGAAGCATATATGTGAACTGTATTTAGATAAAGTCAGGGAAGTTTTTATTGCATTTATGGATTTAGAAAAGGCATATGAGTGGATAGTGGATAGTGGAGCAATGTGGCAGATGTTGCAAGTATATAGAATAGGTGGTAAGTTTTTATGAGGATAGTCAGGCTCAGGTTAGGGTGTGTAGAAGAGAGGGAGACTACTTCCCGGTAAAAGTAGGTCTTAGACAGGGATGTGTAATGTCACCATGGTTGTTTAATATATTTATAGATGGGGTTGTAAAAGAAGTAAATGCTAGGGTTTTCGGAAGAGGGGTGGGATTAAATTATGGGGAATCAAATGCAAAATGGGAATTGACACAGTTACTTTTTCTGATGATACTGTGCTTATGGGAGATTCTAAAGAAAAATTGTAAAGGTTAGTAGACGAGTTTGGGAGTGTGTGTAAAGGTAGAAAGTTGAAAGTGAACATAGAGTAAGGTGATGAGGGTATCAAATGATTTAGATAAAGAAAAATTGGATATCAAATTGGGGAGGAGGAGTATGGAAGAAGTGAATGTTTTCAGATACTTGGGAGTTGACGTGTCGGCTGATGGATTTATGAAGGATGAGGTTAATCATAGAATTGATGAGGGAGAAAAGGTGAGTGGTGCGTTGAGGTATATGTGGAGACAAAAAAACGGTATCTGTGGAGGCAAAGAAGGGAATGTATGAAAGTATAGTAGAACCAACACTCTTATATGGGTGTGAAGCTTGGGTTGTGAATGCAGCAGCGAGGAGGCGGTTTTAGGCAGTGGAGATGTCCTGTCTAAGGGCAATGTGTGGTGTAAGTGTTATGCAGAAAATTCGGAGTGTGGAAATTAGGTTAAGGTGTGGAGTTAATAAAAGTATTAGTCAGAGGGCTGAAGAGGGGTTGTCGAGGTGGTTTGGTCATTTAGAGAGAATGAATCAAAGTAGAATGACATGGAAAGCGTTTAAATCTGTAGGGGAAGGAAGGCAGGGTAGGGGTCGTCCTCGAAAAGGTTGGAAGGAAGGGGTAAGGGAGGTTTCGTGGGCGAGGGGCTTGGGCTTCCAGCAGGAGTGCATGAACGTGTTCGATAGGAGTGAATGGAGACAAATGGTATTTGGCACCTGACGATCTGTTGGAGTGCCAGCAGGGTAATATTTAGTGAAGGGATTCAGGGAAACCGGTTATTTTTATATAGCCGGACTTGAGTCCTGGGCCTAATTTCACTGGGTAATAATCCCCCTCTCGCCTGCATGCTCTAAACTGAACCTCACTATCCTCGTTTTCAACATCTGCCACATTGCCCCCTTATCAACCCTCTCATATGGCTTTTACAAATCCATAAATGTTACACAATCCTCTTTACCCTTATCTAAATACTGTTCACCTATGTGTTTCACTGCAAACACTTGGTCTACACACCCCCTACCCTTCCTAAAGACTCCTTGTTCATCTCTTATCCTACTCTCCGTCTTACTCATAATTGTATCGATAATAACGCTAGCATACACTCTTACCAGATATACTCAACAGACTTATGATTTTTACACTCTCTTCTGTCCCCTTTGCCTTTTACAAAGGAACTATGCATGCTCTCTGCCTATCCCTAGGTACCTTACCCTCTTCCATACATTTATTAAATAAAAACACTAACCACTCCAAAACTACCTGCTTTTAACATTTGTATCTTCATCCCATCAATCCCAGCTGCTTTACCCCCTTTCATTCTACCCACTGCCCCACGCACTTACCCCACACTCAGAACTGGTTCTTCCTCACTCCTATAAGATGTTATTCCTCCTTGCTCTATACACGAAATCACAGCTTCCCTATCTTCATGAACATTTAACAATTCCTCAAAATGTTCCCTCCATCTTCCCGATACCTCAAACTCTCCATTTAACAACTCTCCTCTCCTATTTTAACTAACAAATTCATTCGTTCATTAGCCTTCTCATCTTATTAATCTCACTCCAAAACTTTTTCTTATTTTCAAAAAAATTTGTTGATAACATCTCACCCACTCTCTCATTTGCTCTCTTTTTACATTGCTTTACCACTCTTTTAACCTCTCATTTTCTCTCCATATACTCCTCCTTTCTTGCATCACTTCTACTTTGTAATAACCTCTCATATGCTAACTTTTTCTCTCTTACTACTTTCTTTACATCCATATTCTATCAGTCACTCTTCTTCCCTCCCGCACCCACTTTCCTGTAACCACAAACTTCTGCTGAACACTCTAACACTATATTTTTACACTTACCCCATACATCTTCTACCCCATTGTCTGTATTCTCACTAGCCCATCTGTCCTCCAACAGTTGTTTATATTTTACCCTAACTGCCTCCTCCTTTAGTTTATAAACCTTATATGCATTCACATGAATATAATTAAGGCAGGTTTTAGTAGATAGTTGGAAGATTTACCTCTCGTTATAACCGGTGATATTTGAGACCCATAGCCTCAGAGGGAAAAATAAAAAAAAATTTCGTGGTAAAAAATACATAGTTTTCTTCCCGAAACTGAGTATTTTCTTTACATACAATCCATATGTAGGTTATTTGTATATTAAGACAAACATTATGCAGTGCGTCAACATTGTGAAATACATCGTGGTTCTCCTCGGCTCCTTAGAGGCAAGAACCATAATATTTTTCTACTGAGTTCTCTTATTTTCTTCTCCTCTTTATTTTCTCCTCGAAACATTGCACTATATAGAAAAAAATATATATATCATTAGATATCGATAATAAAACAAGGTAAACAAGAATAACAGATAAACTAGTAAAAGTTATTTGGCATGGTAGATAAGTAGATAGATGGCCTGGTAGATAAGTAGACAGCTGGTAACGAGTGACATTTGTTATTATATGCAAAGGAATCACTAAAAGCCGATGGAGGTCACATAATTTCTTGGGAGCGAGAAGTAATCAAGTTTCATCTAAGGAAGATGAAGTGTGGCTGCAATTACCTGGATCAAGAGCCCGCCACCAGCATCAATGTTCACCCAACGAAGAGGTTACTAGTGGGAACTGAGAGACCAGTTATAGCCCACCTGAGGCGTATAGTTACTAGAAGATGACTACGGCAGCAGGTGAGTGGAGTGTAGCAGGTGAATGCAGCAGATGAGTGGGTAGAGTGCAGCAGATGAGTGGGTAGAGTGCAGCAGGTGAGTGGGTAGAGTGCAGCAGGTGAGTAGGTAGAGTGTAGCAGGTAAGTGGGCAAACATGAGTAGATAATTAAGCCACCTAATTGCATTGAGAGGAGATGTCTTATAATATTTGAATACAAGCAGATTATTAGCTTTGTAAGTTGGTGTGTTGATGATGAACCTTGTAGGTAGACTGGAAAATATATTGCCTTTTTGGCAGTAAAATAGATGATTAACTAATGAGAAGATCAGTAGATAAATAAGCTGGTAGGTAACTAAGTAGATGACTTAGTGGGAGACAGATGACTGATCTGACACAGAGTAGATAAATTACCTGGTAGATAGCAGGCGGCACCCACAGGACCTCACCATGAGGGTAAATAAGAACGTTGCTCTTGTAGCGGACCTCATAGTTCCCGTCGGCGCTGTGGGAATACGGGACCAGTAGCGTGTGTTAGCCAGCGTTTATGAGAATACATATGTAAATATATAAAATTAAACAACATAAATATAGCATTAGAACTGGACAAGAGTCTAATGCTTGTTTTTTTCACGTAAGATGTTAATTTTCAATATTTTTTAAAAGCCGAGAAATTTTTATCAACAAGTCTATAGCTGAAAAAAAAATATAACTGAATCCCCTTAGCAAAAAACAGTTTTGTTTTAAATTTAAATTTTTTTAAGGTTAACCAAAATTTAAATTCTTTTATAATTAATGAAAATTTGGGAAGAAATTTTAAGCTATTTTTGTCCACCCACCGGCACATTGGGGAAAGGGTGACTGTCAATTAAGGTTATCTCACCCTCATTCACAGTGTTGTTTGCAGATCTGTGTTTTTGCACACCATGAGGGGGCCAAAACAACGGGTTCGATCCTGGGTAGTCGTTATTGTTATTTATTAAATATCACTCGTTTGTGATTTCAATACGATCGATATATATATAAAATATAATAATATAATATATATATATATATAAATTATATTATATAATATATATATATTTTTAAATGGAAGTTTTTGAGGTATTTTGGGGAAAAGGGGGATATTTTGAGGAATTTTTAAATTTGATGGGAAAGGGGAAACTGTGATTTCGTGTAAGGGGGAAGAGGAAAAACATCTTGTAGGGTGAAAAAGGGCCCGTTTTTTTAGTGTGGGGGGAATTCGTGAGGGAGTAGGTAAAAAGAAAGGGGGGAAGGCAGCCGGGATTGATGGGAAAAAGAAAAAATTTTTAAAAGCAGGTGGGAAATTTTTTTTGGGAGTGGTTTTAAATTTAATTTAAAAAATGTTTTGGAAGAGGGAAAAGGAAACCTGGGGAAAAGGGAAAGGGGAGCATGCATATTTTCCCTTTTTAAAAAAGGCAAAGGGACAAAAGAGAGTGCAAAAATTTAAAAGGGGGAAAAGTTTTTTTTTAGGTACCTGGAAAAAGTGTATGGAAAGGGGGTTTAAAATTTGAAAAAATTTAAAGAGTAAGACGAGAATGGAAACAAAAAAAAGGGGGGCTTGGGAAAAGGTAGGGGGGTGGGGTGGCCCGGGTTTAAAAGTGAAACATATAATGAACAGTATTTAGAAAAAGGCAAAAAGAGGCGGGTGGCTTTTTTGGATTTGGAAAAGGCGTAGACAGGGGTATAGGGGGGCAAGGGGGAGATTTTTGCAAGTGTATGGTGTAGGAGGAGGTAACTAAAAACAGGGGAAAGTTTTTACGGGGAAAGTGAGGTTTCCAAATTAAAAAATGTGGGAAAGAGGGAAATTTTTTTCCCCCGTAAAAAAAGGCCTTAACAAGGTTTGGGGATGTCACCGGGGTTGTTTAATATTTTATAGAGGGGTTTAAGAGAAGTAAAGGGCGAGGGTCGGGCCAAGAGGCGTGGAGTTAAAAATAAAGAATCTCACAAAAAGGGGGGGTTTTGTCACAGCGTTTCTTTGCAAAAGACACTGTGCCTTTGGAATTCGGGAAGGAAGTTCCCAAAAGGTTTGGGGTGGATAAATTTGGTAGGTGGGGCAAAAGAAAAAAATTTAAAAGGGTGAATACAGGAAAGAGAAGTTATGAATAACAAAAAATTAGGAAAAAAGTTGAATATCAATTGGGAAAGGGGAGAGTAGGGAAGGAGGTGAACGTTTTCAGAAAAATTGGGAGGGGACGTTCGGGGCGGAGGGGTTAAATGAAAGAGAGGTGAATCAAAAGAATTAAAAGGGAAAAAGAGGGGAGGGGTGAAACAAAAGGAGTCTGTGGAGAAAAAGAATTTTGGGCCCTTTGGAGGCAAAGGGGGGAAAATTTAATGAGAAAATATTTTTTTAACCAACGCTCTTAAATGGGTGTGAAGCGTGGGGATGAATTTTGCAGCAGGAAAAGGGCGGGAAAGGCAGGGAGATGTCGTGTCTGAGGGCAATGTGTGGTGTGAATAAAAAGCAGAAATTTCGTAGTTTGGAAGTTGGGAGGGGGTGGGGGAAATTACCAAAACTGTTGTCCAAGGGCTGAGGAAGGGTTTTTGAGGTGGTTAAAAAACATGAGAGAGAAGGGCGAACAAAAATGACATAAAGAGTTTTCAGCTGTAGTGGAAGGAAGGCGGGGTAGGGTCGGCCTAAAGGGGTTTGGAGGGGGGGGGTTTAAAGGGGGTTTTTTGTTTGCGAGGGCGGGGGACTTCCAAAAAGGCATGCTTTAGGGGTGTTTGAATAGGATGAATGGAGAAAAATTTTTTTTTAATACTTGACGGCTTTTGGGAGTGGAGCAAAGAAACATTTATGAAGGGATTCAGGGAAACCGGGAAAGGCCCCGGACTTGAGTCCGGGAGAGGGGAATTACAGTGCCCCCACTCTGAAGGAGGGGGGTTTTGTTGGGAGTTTAAAAACTGAAATTTTAAACACCCTCTGGGAAGACAGTGAGGGGGTGAATGATGGTTTAAAATTTTTTTTTTTTCGGGCCACCCTGCCTTGGTGGTAACGGCCAGTGTGATAAAAATAAAATAATTAAAATTTTATTATATATAAATATATTAAATATAAATATAAATATATATAAATAAAATATATAATATATATATATACATATATTTTAATTTTTATATTTATAATTGTGACCACGAACGATGGTATTGATCAAAAAGAAAAACTGCACTAGCCAAGGACTCGAACCCCATCTGCTTTTTGGGGGTGCCTCATGGGGGGCGAAAAAACCCTGACGGGGGCCCCTTTTCCCCCTGGGGCCATACGCCCCTTTAAAAGTAGCGCATCCAAACGTTCAGGTCACAATATTATAAAAAACTGCTCGTTTTAACTATTAAAACCAAACAGGGACTAGAAAGAAATTAACCTAGAGGGCACCACACCAACGGTCATTGGGTAAACGATACAAACATACAGTTTTTCCGCTGGGAAAGCGCTACTCTTTAATTTTAAGGGTCGTAGGTCCAGGGGGATAAGGGCGTCATTTGTTCTCGTCCACCATGAGGGAGGCCAAAGCACATGGGGGCGAGTACTTGGCAAATGAAAATGTTTTTTTTATTGAATTTATAATATAAAATTTTTCCCTCCGAAATAGGGGAAAAAAGCGGGTTTTTGGGTTAAATTGCAAAGCTTTTCTTGCCGAAAAAGGGCAGGGGAAAAATTTTTGTATGCAAAAAAATATCATAAAAATTAAAATTTTGAAACCCAACGAAAAAAATAAATTTATTTTTGTTTGTTTTTTTATTAAATTATTGTCCCCCTTATCAAAATATAAATTTTTTTGGATTTTGGGGTAAATTAAAAATTTCCTAATCCAAGGGAAGTTTTTTAAGGTTCTTTTATTTCAAAAATTTTAAATTTTTTTTTTGAAATAAATTAAAAAAAATATCTTTAAACGTTTTAAAAAAATTTTAAAAAGACTTAAATTTTTAAAAAGAGTTTTTTGCTAAAAGACCAAAATTTTTCCTATTTGGGGGACGACACACACACACACACACACACCACACACACACCACAACACACACACACACACACACACACACACACACACAACACACACAAAACACACACACACACACACCCACAACATATATATATATTTGTTCCTTTGACAATGTAGTATCACGAAAACGCTTGAATTTCAAATAATCTTTCACATTTGGGTTTTTTTTTCGAAATTTTTAAAAACACCTGTTTTTCCCGTGATCTTATTGCCCAAAATTTTATATATATATATATAAAAATAAAAAAAAATAAAAAATATATATATAAATATATTTTAAATATATATAAAGATATAAATTTTGTGGTTTTGTGTGTGTGTGGTGCAGATAATGTATAGTAAAGGGAAACAATGTTTGATAAAATTTGGGCACTTTTTGTTTTAAAAAATGGATATAGGGAAAAGGGATTAATAGGGGGGAAAGGATATCCGTTTAATTAAGTGGGATGGGGGGGGGCTCCTGGTAAACTTTATTAGTAGCAAAATAAACATACGTCTTTTTCATTATCTTCTCGGTACTGTATACCATTACCGCTGCCAGTAGGTAGTAGGTTACTAAAAGCAGCAAAGACATTCCTTGAGCGTAGTGAAGCTTAAGATATGAAGAAGGGAAGGAAAAATCACTTTCTAGCAAACGTAGACACTAGACAGGAATGTTTTATGTCACTATGGTTGTTTTAACATACAGTATTTGTATATTATCTAAAACAATAATCATATATTAAATAATGAAAAGTCACGCATGACCCTGAAAATATGGTCCTCATTGTGCTCTGCCACTTTCATTTATATTTTGTCAATGAAAAAATATAATTAATTGATGTTATTACAATAGGATGGAAAAAATATTTCAAATGGTTGAAAATTGTTCGTGAGATTTTTTTTAATGCAACATTGGTGTTGCCTAATTCTCTCACTGTATTCGTTGCCTGTTTGCACACCTCATGACTCAATGCAATCTTCACGCGAAATATGACACAACCTACCAGCGATCTAGGATTTTTTTTAAGTGTTAAATTCCTAAGAGTTCATTAAGTCTTGAAAGGCAAATATGTATAAAAAATCTTCATAGTTTTGGAGAAATTTAAGACTGGCTCGCATGACCTAGATGCGGCAGTGTACACACAGCTGGAAGAACGTCACTAGGTGGAAAGGGCGGCTGTTGATGGGTGGCCTACTAGGTGAAGGGGTGATTCCATTAGCTGGAGGGTTATCTCACTAGGTGGAGGAGGGTGACTACACTGAGTGGAGGATGGATCCACCAGGAAGAAAAGTGGCCCCACTAGGCGGAAAGTGACTGTACAAGACAGAGAGTGATCATACTAGGTACAGGGGAAGACCCACAGGCTGGCAGGGTGACACTCACTAACTCGAGGGTGACTTCACTAGGTGAAGAGGCGACTCCCGATAAATAGCGGGTGAACCCACAAACTGCCAGTGCGTGTTCCAGGCAGGCTTTAGTGGATGGATTTAGCGTGCCTTG